AGCACAAGTCGAAGGTGCTCATCATGCTCTTTTTCATCTTTGCTGAAAATCAAAATATCATCTAGGTAAAAAACAACAAATTTGTCAAGCCACTCACGAAATAGTTCATTCATCGTTCTTTGGAAAGTGGCAAGGGCATTTGTTAGACCAAAGGGCAAAACTACGAATTCATAATGCCCATACCTTATTCTGAAGGCAGTCTTATGTTGGTCTTCCGGCTCTACCTCAATCTGATGGTAGCCGGATTTCAAGTCAATCTTTTAAAATATTTTGCAACCCTATACGCGATCCAACAAATCATCTATTCGCGGTAATGGTTCGGCATTTTTCACTGTTATATCATTTAATCTCCTATAATTTGTCCACATGCGAACGTCGCCGTCTTTCTTAGGTACAAACAGCACAGGCGCACCATAGGGCGAGGAGCTAGGTCTTATCCATCCATTTTTCAACAACTCATCGAGTTGGGTTCGCGGCTCATCCAACTCCTGGGGCGACATACGATATATAGGCCCCTTCGGGGGCGTGCTCCCTGGAATGATATCAATGCGGTGTCAGATTGGTCTTTCGACTACAGTGCTTGGGGCTTCAGCCACATCTGGGAACTCTTTAAGGATCCTTTCAATCTCTTGAGACCTTACTTCTTCCTTATTTTCTCCTTCCTTTACTGGGCGCACATATGCAACAAAGACTTGGTCATACAAGTTATGTTTCTTCACATGGCGGGCGAACGCTGGGGCGCTCATGCAACAGTGAGCTAGGCTGCTTTCTTTTCCAGACTCATGGTAGAGATAAATCTTCTTCTTACCTCCTTGCGGACTTGGGAGCCAACATTCATGTTCCCTTAATTTCAGATCCGCACTTGCAGCCTCACCCCAATCCATTCCTAGCAACACATAAAAGGGTAAGTTATCCTCCACCAAGAAGGTTAGAGAGTGGAGAACACGTTCCACCTTTCCCTCTGCCTCTAGCCGAAAGTATACTTGGACCCCTTCGACGTACCGATCCATAATGGTTTCACTACTATTAGCTAGCTTACTTACAATGGGCTCATTCAATTTCTTAACTTTAAGCCCAAGACGCAGTTTTTGCAACCCTCTCTTACTAATATAACTGCGTGTAGACCCGCTATCTATCATTCCTCCTACCCTTATTCGATTTATTTCAAGATCTGCAATTATTAGTTGTCGTTTCTTCTTTTTCATTTCAGTCCAGGCTAGGCGACGAGCGACCAACTCATCAGCCACGCTAGCGAGGGATCCATCTAGAGAGATGCATACGTTTGCCACCTCAGGACAGTGCACTAGATGGAGACTGTCTTCCGCTCCAGTTTCTGCCATTGGAGCCTTCGAATGGGAGGATTCTGGTTTTTCAACATTCGAAGCTCCGGTAGAGGCAACTGGCACCTCTACTGGTTGTTCCCTTTTGCCCCCCTATAGTCAGGGCAATAGGGGACAATGTGGTCGGGGTCCCCACACTTGAGGCATTGGTCGGCTTTCTTCCTCTCTTGCCAGACTTTTTTTGTTATTCCAAACTCTTTCCACGGCTCTCCTTCAGGTAGGCCGGGTTGAGGTGGGTACGGTTTGTCCCACTTGTTATACCATGTGCCTCTTCCTCTACCCCAGGTGGAGTAAGAACCACGGCCACCTTGCGACTCGGAGGGACCATTTCCCGTTCCTCCCACGTAGTGGCTTCCTTCACCACCACCCCTCTGGGTGTCGAATCCTCGTCCACCACGGCCGCGACCCCTTCCTCGGCCACATCCTCTTCCTTGACGCCCTCCCCTGCGGGCTGCAACAGCCGCGTAGCTCCCCTCCTGAGCTACCGGTATGTTGGGTTTATCGAGACCATAGTCTACCTGATCCGAGGAGATGGTCTCGGCGCCTCCTTCCTCAAAGGTTAGAAGGAGACTGTCCTTCCCAGTTATAGATCCTGAGATAGTGCGGTTTTTTCATTTCTTACCCGCTTGCAGATCTTTCCAGTAATGACAATAGTTTTCTTCGGCGAGGAAGCCGGCGTGATCTATTGCGATCTTGCCGAACTTCTCGTATGTCATCCCCTCTTCTTTGGTGCGGGGATAGAGTTGGGTTCTTAGGGGGTCCGGAAGTGCTCGTGCAAAACTGTTTAAGATTTGGGCTGGCGTCAATCCATGATCAGGGCATTGTAATAACTCATCCATAGTTGCCTTTAATGCAGAAGTACTCTTCCATTTCCTATCGGGGAGGCTGAGGATCAACATTTCTGTGCGCCTTGCCAAGTTCTTGTCCTCAAATCTTTCTCTTCTTAACTTGAGGAAATCTTTAATGCGTTTTTGCTGTGAATACTCTACCATAGAGCTGCATCCCGCCTTTTTTTGTAGCGAGATGGCAAAGCTCATGGCGCCGTCTCCCATGCATGAAGTTGCCATTAATACCCTGTCCCAATATGGAACGCGTTGCCCGTACACGTAAGTTTCAATTGTCATTGCTCAGTGTAGAACGCTTTCCAACTTTTTTCCATTATAGGTCCACGGCAACTTAAGTTTTATCTTACTAACCTGCCCGGTTTCCTAAGGAAGTTTTTCCTTTGGTTCCCCAATTCTTTTTCCCTTTTTGTCGTCATTGCTTTCGTCATCACCATCTCCTCCGTCGCCTCCAACTCCCTTTACAATCTTTTCTATGACCTCCGGGGTGAATGTCTTAGTAACATGTTCGTCCAACGCCCAGATGTATGTTTCTACATGCTGGTCAACGTCCTTGGCTGACTTTTCCAAGAAGTTATTCCAAACATTTTCGAACTCAACCCGATGCGTTTCTACTCTTTGTAGGGTCTGACGCATCAAGGCCATGTCCTGCCTTGTGTTGAGGACGGCCTCCCTGAGGAGTGCAAGTTGTTCTTTGGTTGCAGAGGGTTTTTCCTTTTGCACTTCTAAAGCCTTCTGCAATTTTTCCCCCTCCGCATGCAATTTCTTTTTCTCTTCTACCTCTTGCCGCCTAGTGGCCAACAACCTTCTGTAGTTCAGCCCGTTTCTCCTCCATCATCAAGTTTCGTTCAACGGCATCTGTGACAGTGGCCAACTTGGCGATGAATGTATCCCTTTCTTCATCAGTTTCCTTTAATGACTCGCAGGAGTAGTAGTATTGTCCGGCCATATCCAATGGTTCAACAAGAAGCCGGTTGGCTGTACTACTTTCAGGTATATCTTGGCGACGACGTCTTTCCAAAACCTCTCCTTCGTCCTGTTCTTCTTCTTCTTCTTCTTCTTCTTCTTCTTCTTCTTCGTCTTCTTCCCTTATACTCTTCAACTGTTCGTCCAATTCCTTATCCATCTTCTCTTTCATCTTTTTCCTTGCCTCTTCTTCTTTCTGTTTCCTTTTGGCTTCCTGTTCCTTTTTCTTTTCTGCTAGCTTACGGTCAATTTCAGCTTGTTCCGCAGGTGTGGGGCCTGGTTTCAGTGTTCTGGACCGCATCAACATGCAGGACGTGCACACACGTCCAAACCCCAATGGGAACATCAACCGGAACAGCGGCCCCAACAGGACAGAAAGGGCCAACAGGCCCTGGATGGGATAGTCATCCATGATGACGACCGGCACAGGGGAACCTCCGCCGGATCACCATAATGCTATCCCACTTACGGACTCAGTTCCTGATCCGCGATGAATGGAGTACTGTACTTTTTTTTTTTTTGATTATAGAAGCTGCTGCGTACAATAAATAATAGATCAAACTGAAACAAGCTTACTGTTTGCATATGTCTCCTCGTTTTTTTCTTTCTTGATATGCTGTCTGGCTCCCTGGATCAACTTTGGCAATGTATTTCTGATGCCTTGCTCCCCTGTAATGCTTGGTTGATTACTAACTAGCTGGCTGTTTGGATGCAGGCTGTGTATCTTTTTAACGGAGAACGCGAAAAATTGAACGCGCGTTTATCCGTTTAACGGACCCCCGACCCCCGTTAAATCGCGTTAAACGCAAAAACGGGGGTGTCGCGTCGAATTCCGAAAAACGGAATTCGCGCGTTGGGCTTCGGACACGTGTACCTACGTGCCCAAACACTCAAACCAGAAAAAAAAAAAAATTGGCCGCTATACCCCTCCCCCCCCCCACATTCCCCCGGGGGCCCCAATTTCCCCCAAAACGACACTTTCACCCCAAACACACCTCCGACCTCCAAAGCTGCACACCCACCCCCACTCACCACCGCTCACCCCCGACCCCTACTACCCGGC